TTTTTAGTTGTTTCTGGTATTGCGCTCTTTTGAGCTGCCAGAACAGCTTCATCGTCCTTTGGGGCAGCAAACCTAGAGCTAGCTGAGATCTTGGATGATGATGCGGCAGTGGTCGTGGTGCTGCTTGAACCATCGAGAGATTTAGAGCCGCCGTCTATGCTGCCATCGAGCTTAGGAAGCAACTGGGTGGAGTTATTTAAGAAGTCTTGGTATTGCTCCTCCGTAATTTGTGAAAGAAACTCCTCTATTTGCCTGTCTATTTCACTTGAGATGTCAGAGACAGAGACAGCCATTGTTGGGAAGATAATGTTATTTTTCAAACTGTTATAGTGCGCTGTTGCTACGCGCAAAAGCTACCATGGGAATGCATTGCTGTTGCTAACTGTTGCTAAGTAAACTATTTGTTTATTTTAGTACATGGTAGAAGTTGGTTATACAACTCTGTGTCGGTATCTATGGCCTTATCATACCTCGGGCCTACGGCCCTCGGTATGATAAATGCCATAGATACCTCCACCTCGTTGTATAACCTTTACATATAGTTAATAATGGGTTACCTACATGTAGTCTATTATATTCCTGTATACATGTACATGTACATGTACATTTAGATGCTCATTACTCAAATTTTTAATCAGAGTTAGCTTAAATAATACAAAGGCATTAATAATCAACATGTACCAGATTACATATACTAAAAGCTAAGAGTATTGTTAATGATTTACTTGTATAATAATGCATTCATGGCTTGAGCCAAAGTTTAAATATTCTAATTCAATAATGCATTATATAAATGAAGTCATTAATTCTTTCACCCTCACACTAAGGAAGTATCATTATTAACCTCATTATGATGTAGGCTCATATGCATCTGAGTAGGTGTATTATTCTACCACTTATGTAATACTAGAATTACACATGCACATACACGTACATGTACACATGTACATGTACAGTACATGATGTATTGTGATATGTGAAAGGGGAAGACATGTTATCTGAGGTGTCCTTTGTGTGTTGTCTGTAAATATTTTAGTACACAGGCCTGCACATGCATGACGTAGCATGTACTATATACATGTACATGTATGCAAGTAATTTTAATCACTGTCGATACTATAATATTATTGTATTGCAGACCACCTGAAATTGCTTATGTTCATTATGTACAAGTAATTCTATTATAGTTGTTATATTGGAACTATCATATTAGATTCATGTAATGGTAATATGATTGTGAGCTAATGCCAATATTGTCAATAATTCATTATCAGCTGAGGTTAATGATACAGTATGGGGGATTATTTTTAGAGATATGATCTATACTATTATTATCATCATCATTATTATTATTATTATAAAGTAAAAGGAAGTAGAAATAATACAAATTGTACCACAGAGAATAAAATTAATCATCATAGCTGCTACATCTACAGTACAGTACATTGCATAATTACAATGTATATAATATTTATTATTATTATTAATATAATTGTTTCCTCCTTCAATGTGTGTTGTGTGTGTATCAGCTTGTACAAGTAATTATCCAGTGAACTGTATGTGTGGCAGCATTGATCCTGTTTACTTCCTCTCCTCCTCTTGTTTCTCTTTCCTGTCGTTATACCATTTCCTTAATTCTTTTCTATAATTTAATCCCTCTCGTCCTTTCTCTTTCATCCTCTCTCCTCTCCCCCCTCTCTCTCTCCCTCCCTCCCTCCCTCTTTCTCTCTCTCTCCCTCCCTCCCTCTTTCTCTCTCTCTCCTCCTCTCTCTCCCTCTCTCTCTCTTCCTCATTCTTTCCTCTTTCCCTCTTTCTTTCTCTCCCTTTCCCTCTCTCTCTCTCTCTTAGATGAGGATTGGTATTCATTCAGGTGCAGTAGTTGCCGGTATTGTTGGTACAAGAATGCCTCGGTATTGTCTTTTTGGTAATACTGTTAACATGGCGAGCAGGACAGAAGCTAATGGTGAACCAGGGAAGATACAAGTTACACAATGGACACACAAGTAAACAGACTAATATTAGTAATAATAATAGTAATAATTGAGATTGCATGTAATACATGTAGCAGTGTAAAACAAGTACATTTTGAAAAATACCCTGTGCCCTGTACTATAATAGCCCATGGTTTTTTTCAAAAAATGGCTTCGGAATCACCCCAAATTTTTATTACATTTTCTGATACATATTGATGTCCTTATGGTGTGTAGCAAGTTTGAGCCGATTCCCACTTTAATTTTTCAAGTTACGTCCATTTTAAGAAAATGTGGAAATCCTGAAAAATACCTTTATATAGCCCATGGTTTTTTCCAAAAAATGGCTTCGAAATCACTCCAAATTTTTATTACATTTTCTGATACATATTGATGTCCTTATGCTTTGTAGCAAGTTTGAGCCAATTCCCACTTTAATTTTTCAAGTTACGGCCATTTTAAGAAAATGCTGAAATCCTGAAAAATAACCCTGTACTATAGCCCATGGTTTTTTTCCAAAAAATGGCTTCGGAATCACCCCAAATTTTATTACATTTTCTGATACATATTGATGTCCTTATGCTTTGTAGCAAGTTTGAGCCAATTCCGATTTTAATTTTTTAAGTTACGGCCATTTTAAGAAAATGCTGAAATCCTGAAAAATACCCTGTACTATAGCCCATGGTTTTTTCCAAAAAATGGCTTCGGAATCACCCCAAATTTTTATTACATTTTCTGATACATATTGATGTCCTTATGCTTTGTAGCAAGTTTGAGCCAATTCCGACTTTAATTTTTCAAGTTACGGCCATTTTAAGAAAATGCTAAAATCCTGAAAAATACCCTGTACTATAGCCCATGGTTTTTTCTAAAAAACGGCTTTGGAATCACTCCAAATTTTTATTACATTTTCTGGTACATATTAATGCCCTTATGCTACGTAGAAAGTTTGAGCTGATTCCGACTTCAATTTTTAAAGTTATGGCTATTTGTAAAATGAGCTATTTTTGAAAAATACCCTGTACTACAGCCCATGGTTTTTTCAAAAAATGTCACAACATAAAACACAATTTGTTATAAAATATTTAACCACTATAATAGCCTAACAAAAACAAGTTTTTTGAAGAGATGCATGTACATTTACATGTACATGTCCATGATATAATACAACAGAAAGAAGGAATGAGAACTGCAATAAAGAATGGATTATCTACACATATACATGTACATGTACATGCACTGTACATATGCATACAAATTTACTTCATTTTTATTATTATATTTTTGCGTATATCTTATTAGGTTACTAGCTGACAAGCCCAACTTCAAATTCACAGCAAGGGGTCTGATACAGTTCAAAAATGTCCCGGAACCCACAATGTGCTACTTCCTTGATGAGAACACCGACAAAGGCGATTACCTTGAACTCGAAGTACCCGAAGAAATATCCTACGACTTTATGCAGAAATCAGACTCTCCTCCTCCTACTCCATACTCACACCTCTTTGGGAGTTCTAATCCGTCAACGTACGCCACCACACCCCATGAGTACCCTAGTCCAATGGGCTCCCCTAGTAAAATAAGAAAATTCCCAGCGTCTCCCGAGGTCCGG